CAAATACGGGTATCCACTAAAAATAACCTTTGAAGTATATATATATATATATATATATATATATATATATTGTGTGTGTGTAGTATCCAAAACTAAAGTGAAAATGATGAGATAAAGCAGAAAATTTATAAACGATGCGATTAGCCAACGTCTTTTTGTCTCGGCTTCTCTCTTATTTATCTGAAGATCATTTTAGTGTGAAACTTTGATAACAATTTATCTTGGAGTCCCTGAATGCTTTTTTTTGTTTTGTTATTGTCACATCTCTGTCTTAGTGAGATTTCTAGAGACATTGAGCACTCTTGGTTTCTTTTTAGCTAGTTATCTGTCTTTTTTTTTTTTTTCATGTTTTACATTTGGCACATTAGGTCGGGTAGTTCTTGGAGACTTTAACGATTACTTGGTTTATTCTGGTATATATATTCCCATACACCCCCTCTTTTTTTTACTAGAGCAAAAGATTTAAAAAGTAAGCCAGTCGATCATTGCCAATCTCCACTATTTTTGGATCTTAGTAGCTTATCAGTTCCAGTTGTTTCCAAAGAAAACACGCCTTTGTTTTTCCTGTTCGCCCGTGCAGGCTTTATCTCACCTGAATTGCGTGCTTTTCTGCCCTGGTCTTATCGTCTGACCAATCGCCGTTCACACGAGAAGCCGCTGATCAACAGGATAAAATAACTAAATGAGAACGCCAGATGGACGGTCCTGTTCCTCTTCTAATATTCGATACAAGATGCAAACACATGATGGTCCAGAAGAAACGCCTTTTTATTGTTTATTTTAATATTAGCGTTCATTCCAAATAAATATGATTAAAGCAGGCGTGTCTTTTTTTTTCGAGCACATGTAGAGTGAGAAAGACACACACACACACGAGTAAGGGTAAAGCTAAGATTACTCAGGCACGTGTGTGAGAAACAGAGTAGAAAGATTGTGTTACGCCAATTTTCCAAGTAGAGAGGATCTACTTCAACACTCAGTATTAGAGTTTTGGGATTTATTTTTACTTGGATTGGGGTGAATAATCAAGTCTGTGGAGATGAGAATAGAATCCTATGGTCGTACCCGGGCCGGCATTACTATCCCCGACCTCTCCGACTGGGAGGGAGCCTGATTGAGGGCCCCGGGCAATGCTTTGTAACTCTCACTATCTTACCAACATTTGCTTTTTTTTTCTAGCTCCATTTATATGTATAAATTATAAAATAAACTAAGCATAACCAACTGTTAAAGGATGAAAGATTTTCGCGGATTATGACGTCATTCTGGGGTCTTTTTTTTCGTCCAAATTCGTGAATTTGTTTTGCTCATGCAAAGTTTTGGAAAATCTCTATCTATAAAAGGCAGGATGTGTTTGTGTATGTGTGTGTGTGTGTGTGTGTGTGTGTGTTTGTGTGTAACGAATGTACGACCGCAATTTTCGACGGATTTGAACTAAAATTTACATGCACATGCTCCAAGTTAGCGGGAAGGCCAAGACTCACTTTGCATTTCCCAACTCCCATCGATAGTGGAAATAATCGATTTTTTCATGCTTCTACGGCAGTTTTCATGTAGTTTGCGGCCATTTTGTAGTGGCCAGAGTGAGAGCCTATAGCTGGCTGCCTTGAATAGGCAGGAAGATTCTATTGGTCAGCGTGAAAGCCAACTGCTGACTGACACGAATGTTAACAAGCATGCTAGCATGCAAAAAAAAATCGATAGCTGCATTCGTCACAAGTGGGAAAAATTTAAATCTGCACAGCACTTTACTCCAATTGGCTCATTCGCTTGCTTAAACTCAATGTTGATTCTGATTCCGCAGAACTGGGTTGGGTGTGAAAAAGTATTTGTTGCTAACATTCTTTTTTCATTCGGTTTTTCCAGTTACGAGTCCTTTTTTTTTAAAGCTGATCGTTTTGTGTTCATTTTGTTTAGTTCTTTTTTCGTAACAGATTTAATGTTTAGTATAGAGCTTAGAAAAAAATCGCAGTGTGAGATAGGCAAGAAGTAAGGCATGTAGCAACATCAGCACGGAAAAGGGCACTCCTTTAAAGGCAAGGAAGGGCAAAATATTTTAAATCAAGTGATAGCGATTGCTGTATGAGTCGTACGATTTTTGAATCAAGCACGGGCAACGCCGGGACATGCTGCTAGTACTATATAAAATTCACTATTTTTTTTTATCCATAATGTTGATTGTGTTAAAATTATTCAACTTTCTAACAAGAAAATAATCTCGAGTTGATGTGAAAATTTGCCGTACAACATAGTTGATTCAAGATGGAATGATCTATTATGACATGTCTCTAATTTGTATCTAGATACATTGTATTTATTTTCAATTTTTCTAGTTGAATTGTTAATCTATATTACATATTGTACATAAGTACGTTACTATAAAATTTATATTTTATATGAATTCTACCTTATAAAAATTGAGATGTAGTAGAGTGAGAAGGAGGCTTTCATAGAATCAGGAGGATGGACACGAGACTCTTTTACCGACCCTGGTCCATCCTATATAAAAACTGGGGGAAAGGACAGAACCTGTGTGATAAGTATGAGGGTGGGCTGAAAACTTTATGACTATGAAGGAGTGATGCTAGAGCTGCGAAATTGTTGCAGAGTAGTTTTCACAGTGGAGGCTTGTATTTCACTAAGTCGGTCCTAAAAGGGTTCGACGTACAAAACGTTAGGAACTTGAAATAATAGTTAATGACGCAGCAATCTAGTTGTGGTGGTTGATACTTTAATGTCCGACATCAACTGACTCACCAACACCACTGAGCCCTGGCGCCTGCTACTACTACTACTACTTATTATATGTGGAAGAGTCTATTACAATAGAATAGGTATGTTCTAGTATAACAGAAATCTTGCATGCATTAATTTCAAATATTCTTATTAATAACTGCATTATTTCTTCCCAGATGGACTGACATCTGACTGTTCAAAGAAAACTTCAAAAGCAACTAGTAGTGACTTCTCTTGAAAATGAACAAAATTTGACATTGTGCTGTTATCAAGTATCCGCAGAAAATGGATACTGATATGGTTGCTCCAGCTTTATCAACAGTGCAAAAATGAGCAGTCGAATTTAGGAGGGAAGGGAGAGTCTTGAAAATGACCCAAGGCCTAGATGTCCTGTAACTGCCACCACCGAGGAAAGCATTAATCGTGTTCCCGATATGGGTGACTCGCGATTGACTATAAATCAAATATTTATTAGCACATTCCGCGAGGGAGCTGAGAATATTCTGTACAATGAACTTGGTATTATTTCTGCTCAGTGGGTGCCACATTTTCTGACACTTGATCAAGGGCGCATCACTTTGAGCCAGAGACAAAGAGACAATCCAAGCAGTGGAAACACCCCCTCCTCGCCTGCTCCAAAGAAGACCAACGTTGTTTCATCTGCATAGAAGGTGATGGCCTCAGTTTTTGGAATGCAGAAGGGGCCATATTATCAATGGATAGTACTATGCCAACTTGCTGAGGCAGTTACGAAAGTCTATCAAATCCAAACACCCAGGAAAACTGCTGAAAGAGGTCTTGTTTAATCAGGACTATGTTCAAGCACATAAATCCTTGGTTCCAATGGCTGCTGTATGTGACTGTGGCTTTGAACTGGTTGATCACTCTCCCTATTCTCCTGATTTGGGCCCATCTATCATCTGTTCCCCAACATGAAAAAGCACTTGGCTAGGAGTCAGTCTGAAAACTTCTTTGTCAATGGGATCCAAGCACTGAAACACCGATGCAAGAAGTGTGTGAATAACAAGGAGGACTATGTTGAAAAATAAACCTCATTTGATCACATTTCATGAGTGTATCTTGGTCAGTCTATGAACTTTTTCAGCTGGCCCGCGTAAAGTCTCCAAACATTTTAAACAGATTTTTGACCCGGTAGTTTTATTGAAACTGGTATAAAAATGAAGTAAATTTATCTCTTCAAAATTACGAGGGCTGATTGACAAACGTCTCCAATTGTTTAGACCAGCGGTTGCCAACCTTTTGAACTTCATGGACCACAAAATGTATAAATTTAAATTTGGCAGACCACTAATATGAATTTAGAAGAAAAAAAAAGGTAAATAATTTATATAACAATCAGAAAACTTTTATTAATATGAAATGCACACATAAAGGTAACAAAGTTATAGTGTAATTATTTAAATAAAAGAAATTGAACATTTGAAGTTTATTCAAGTATTACACATTTTTAGTGGGATATTTGTTCCTATTTGTTTGAAATCAGTTCATGTGTTTTTTGCTCCAATGACGTCACTGGAATACGGAGAGCTGTGTTTATTTCAAGCCAAGACTGGTATCGAGTTTTAATTGCTGTGACAGATGAAAATGTACGAATCTTATGAATTTGTATCTGGTGCGTAAGTCGATTCTTGAAGAGCCCGCTATTACTCTGTTGCTATGCCATGTTTCTAGAAAATTACACTAGTAAACCATCCAGTAACTAGTTATCAACAGTAATGGTAAGGAACTACTCAGTAACAAGTATTGATTGAACATGACTTTGCAAGTCAGGTTATACTATGGCTGGATGATGTCACATTTGTGTACTCATGTTTATTTCGAGATAACATAAGGTCTTGAACACACACACACACACACACACACACACACACACACACACACACACATATATATATATATATATATATATATATATATATATATATACTCATATGTCCTCAAGACCTTATGTTATCTCGAAATAAACATGAGTACATGCTCATGAGCCGGCTTTCCCTGACGATCCGTTTAGGTGAAACCTGGGTAGGTGTATCTAGGTCTGCTCTACGGTTGTATTGAGCTCTTTTATTAGTTAGTTGTTTACTCGTATTGGGGTTTTTTCTTTGGACTTCAAACCTGTATCTGTGCGATTTTTTTCGACAGACTTTCATGTTTCTAGCTCTTTCTTTTTTTAAAACCTTTTTTTCCCTCGAGATTGATTTGATTATTACCAAATCAAAAATTCGAGGGTTTTTCGAAACGAGTATATCTATCTATCTATCTATCTATCTATCTATCTATCTATCTATCTATCTATCTATCTATCTATCTATACCACCCATAATAGGTTCTGTTACTCGTCATTTTTTAATCTGAAGTTTCATAAAAATTGAAATAATATCTCAATTTTTCTGCAGATCATCAAAGATTTTGTACAGACCACCAGTGGGCCGTGGACCACCGGGTGGCAACCACTGGTTTAGACTACATTAGGACTAATGCCCTCATCTTTGTTGTTATCACAACGTCTCGGCCGTTGTGCCCTACGGCCTTCATCAAAGGTATATCGATCTAGGTATCGTACAGGTAATTCTGAACCGAAGCCTTTATTTAATCTACTGGGGTAAACTGTTCACGTCCCATTGTCCATGGCATATCTAGAGATATCTTGTGTAGTTCTTACTTTTAGTAATGCTCAGTTATTGCTCGCATTGATACCAGGGACAATAGCCTAGTGAATTAAAGCGTTGGTTTGTGAATTGGTGACATAGTAATTGCGAGTTCAAATCCTGGTCCGGACCGTTTGCACTTGGAATCGCTTGAAACAGGGCGAGCAATAAGTGAGCAGTACTAAAAATAAGAAATAGACAAGATATCCCTAGACATAGGCAGTGGAAAAGTGTGTACTTGGACTCAATGGAAACACTGCGAACAATAAGTGAGCAGTATTAAAACTAAGAACGATACGAGATATCCCTAGACATGGGCTGTGGAACATTGTGTACTTGGACTCGGTTGAAACAGGGCGAGTAATAACTGAGCAAGATCTAGATGTGATATCCTTAGACATGGGCAATGGAACATTGTGTACTTGGACTCGGTTGAAACAGGGCGAGTAATAACTGAGCAAGATCTAGATGTGATATCCTTAGACATGGGCAATGGAACATTGTGTACTTGGACTCGGTTGAAACAGGGCGAGTAATAACTGAGCAAGATCTAGATGTGATATCCTTAGACATGGGCAATGGAACATTGTGTACTTGGACTCGGTTGAAACAGGGCAAGTAATAACTGAGCAAGATCTAGATGTGATATCCTTAGACATGGGCAATGGAACATTGTGTACTTGGACTCGGTTGAAACAGGGCGAGAAATAACTGAGCAAGATCTAGATGTGATATCCTTAGACATGGGCAATGGAACTTTGCTTACTTGGACTCGGTTGAAACAGGGCGAGAAATAACTGAGCAAGATCTAGATGTGATATCCTTAGACATGGGCAATGGAACATTGTGTACTTGGACTCGGTTGAAACAGGGCGAGAAATAACTGAGCAAGATTTAGATGTGATATCCTTAGACATGGGCAATGGAACATTGTGTACTTGGACTCGGTTGAAACAGGACGAATAATAACTGAACAAGTATTAAATATAAGATATCAGCAGTGGAATGAGAACAGTCAACCGATTTAAATCAAATTTCAGGACCTATTCATTAATGAATTAATTTTATACTGAATTGATTATTTTATTAGAAATCTTTGTACGCGTATTGGGGGGGAGTCATTTATCCTCCATTTCGAATAATCGTGAATACATTTAAAATTGGGGTCGGTGAATAATATATTTTAATTTTATAAAGAAAAATCTGAAGATCTTTAAGTAAAAATCTTTTGCAATATCTAATAGCAGTAATTTTACTGAAAGCTACACGCATGCCACCAATCTGCCACTGGCTGGCATGCCTCTAGCGTTTATCGCTGGTGGGCCGCTCTCAGACCACAGGCGTGTGCGTCTCAGCAATGTTACCACTGAACGGAGGCCCGCGAGTGGGCCACTAGCGGCTTGCGTGTAGTGGCCTTGACTTGAGCAAAAATACAGTGAAAATTTTAGATCAAAATCCAGCTAATATTTTACTGTCTGAAAATTACACACTAATTCATGTATATACGAAGTTAACCAACAATCCAGCTTGTAAACTCTATGAGAACAGTGTAAACATAGGTATCAAAACTGAATGGCGACGGTCTGTTTCATGGTTAAACGCAATCCTCCGGCCTTGAGTATAGTTTGAACATGATTATTTGGGCTTTATTTATTATGTGAATGTGGCTTGGGAAAATTGCCATTGCGGCTATAATGTCTTCCTCCGAATTAGGCAGCAGCATAGCGTTTCTTAGAATGATTCTTGGTTTCTGTCTGTATGGCTTCATTCATAATTGTGGTCGAGCCATGTGGCAACGGGTAGAGAGATTTAGAAAGATATGAAAAAAAAATGTAAATTACAGAGGAGCAAACACGAAAGGCGAGAGGAAGAGGCGGGAAAAGAAAGAAAGATGACGTAGAGTAAGAAAGAAAGAAGAAAGAAAGGAAGAAGACAAAATAAGTAGCAGTAACATCCGCAAAGACAGAAAAGGCAACGAGAAACTTTGGCAAAATTTATGAAGAAACCTAAGAAAAATGTATGTATAGATTAAGTGTAAACCCCCACTTTACACACTCGGTGAACGTAAGTGATTTTAATTTAAAATTATTGGATTATAAATAGCCTCTAACGAACCTTATAGATATAATTTTATTTTAAATTTTAACGTATATCTAATAATTTAAAACAAACAACCTAAAGCTCAGTCCAAACCCTATTTTCTGTTTTGTGTCACTATTTGAATTAGCGTATTAAATATTGACCCCAGCGTTAGATGAGAGTTGATACCGCTTTTTGGATGCATCTGTTGACGTTTTCTTAAATGTAATTAAGCAAGTTATAAATGAAGAAAGAATTAATGCACGAGTAAAAAGTGTTAGGTTAAGAGCGAAAGGATGGAAGAAAGAAAGAACAAAAGAGGAATAAACGCTTACTTAAGTGCAATGACCCTTGTAACATTTCGTGCTTTATTTATCACGGTGGAGTAATGGATAGAGGCTCGGATTGAGGAATCGGAGAGCCGAGTTCAAATTCCAGTCGAATTCATTACATTCACTTACGTGCTAATAAACCTTGAGAAAGGGTATTAGAAAATAAATGAAATGAATCCTCTTCTCCCACCAGCTATGGGTAAATTGCAGGTCAGACCGGGTTCTATGGCCTTGGATGCCAACTGGTCTACTGCAGAAAGAAATGGCAACCTACTGCAGGAAAAACTGCCTCATCAATCATGTATCGAATGATACATGATATCTTAAGCGTGTATCACGCATGGCACATAACTGATTGATACACACACTGTCTACAAAAACTCATACACACCATTTATCATAATAGTATAACAAAAAAATAATTTATTTTATTTGAAAGCGCTCGGAAGTTTTGGACGATTTTTATATTGTCCAGAAAAGAAGACACTTGTGTGCATCTAAGAAAAACATAATAATAATAAAAAAACGAAACAAAAGTATCTTGTTAGTCTTGTTCAAAGAAACATGTATTAAAAAGGGATTGCTACCTAAATACGCAACTATCTACTACTACCACCCTACCCTCATTAGGATTTTTCTATCAACATGGATCGGACAATAAAAGCACATTCGCCTAGAGACATTATTATCAAAAACAGAAAATAAAAAGTTTCCGCACTGATTGACATGTACGTACCAAGCGACAAAACATCTCCGTGAAGGTTTTATTAACAAACACCTGGAGAAGGAAATTAAAAAAAATGTGACAGATAAAATTTTCCTACTGTGTTTGGATCTCTGGGCCTGATAATGAAAAGTACTCAATAAAATACCCTGGCGTACCATCTCTCCAGGAAATTCAAAAAATAGTTCTAACAAGCACAGCCCTTATCCAGTGAAGAGCTTTGTCCATTTAAGTCTTTTTGTTAATAGCTGTCTTTTGTTTAATTAAATGGAAACAACAAAAAATCAAATCCTTCGCTTGACCGAGGTCATTAAGTTATTACAAAACAAATGCAAGTCAAAAAGAAATGTTTAATAATAATAATAATAATACCTGTGGCAATTTTATGGGACTTTACAATACACACAGACAGAACAATATAAAACCTAATCGTTCAGACATAGTGATGAAAGACCACAACATATATAAAACATTAATGTATTTACCGGTTACACGACCCAGGTATCAACCATAAGATTTCTTCAGGTGGTATTAGCAAATTAAATTTTTTAACGCTCCATTTTCCCTTTTATATACCTGATGAAGTCACCAGATATTATAAGAAAACACTAGCAATGTACACTGAAAGCATCAACAAAGAGGCTAAAGACATCACAACCAGGAGTGACAAAGTCTGTATTATGCGGAAAACAAGCTTTTCTAACAGTTAAGGACCATCCAGTTGATTTCTTTAGAAGCCATTCATTCCGCCTAATAAACCCAATTAAAACTGAATTGGGTATTGTAAGCCAGCGAATCTTACAAAAAATATGCGACCTATTAAGAATAGCTACACAAGCAAACCAAGGGGAGAGAACAAGTGAATGCATATCCTTGTTTCATGGTATTGAAAATAAAGATAAGTATGTATTTATTAAATACGACATCAAAGATTTCTATATCAGAGAAAAACCTGCTAGAAGCATTGGACTACGCCAAGGACTTTATTAATATTCCATCTGAGCAGATTCAGAAAATCTTGCATTGTCGTAAATCTGTTTTATTTCATAATGGCGAAGCATTGATTAAGAAATCCAGCAATGGTGCCTTCGATGCCTCACAAAGGTCGTTCGATGGAGCTGAAGTTACGGAACTGATGGGCCTTCTTATATTTAATAAAACTAACAAAATTGTTCATGTTGATAGCTACGGCCTTTATAGAGATCATGAGTTAATTATTGCACCTGGCAATAGAAAAACAAACGATAAAATTAGAAAAATGCTTTTCAAGTTCTTCCAGGACCTAGATTTTAATATCACGGTCGACATGAATGAAAAACGTCGTACAATTTTGGGACGTAGAGTTCAACCTTTGGGCCGGCACAATCTTCACATATACGAAATCGAACACAGTGAAGTATGTGAACTTTAAACCACCCAGCAAGCATAATTAAGCATATTCTGAAAGGAATTGAGTTTCAGACTGACGTGAAATTTCTTCGTCTAAAGACATTTTTGAAGAAAAGAAAAAGAATAAGAAATAGGATTGAGAGAGGAGGTCACA